GCCACCCAGGCGCCCCCTAAGTTTATTTATTTCAAGACAGAGCCAGTGTGAGTAGGGGAGGGGCAGAGAGAGAATCCCAAGCAGGCTCCGCACTGTCAGCACAGAGCCTGATATGGGGCTTGAACTCACGTGAGATCATGACCTGAACTGAAACCAGGAGTCAGACACTTAACTTGCTGAGCCACCCAGGGGCCCCTTCCTCAGTATTTCTTAAGGAATTCCCTCAGGAGTGAGGCTTTCCTACACTCTTCCTTTGCCTGGCACCCTGGAGTTTTTTCGGCTCAAAGCATTGCCCCACATTGATTTGGCCTCGGTGAAGGTGTTGCTTTTTTTTCCCCCTGAGAGTGGAAGGCCATCGTGGAAGGGGAGGCAGGGAAGAGAACTTGGAGACCCTAGCAGTAGCCACAGGCAGACCCGTTTTTAAGAAAAGAGCAGCTATGGAACGTGGGGCTCTAAGACACATTTCCTCTTGTTTCCAGGATGGCTTTGCATGCCTCCAGGAGTGTGTGAACTCCAGTTTGAGTACCTTCAAACTACAGGTTCTCTAGGAGTTTCTTCTAGGTCCAAACTTCTGGGCTTATTGGATCATTCACATGACTTTTATGGAGGGCGTCCAACATGGCTCTTATGTCCTCCAAGAACAGTATCTGTGTACAAGTTAAGAGCTGTACATTTGACGGGAATAAAAATAACTTGGCAACCTCATCTTCCCCAGCAGGGTGGTGTTAGCCCATGATGGTCATTCTGGACTTTCTAGTGATGGTCTCAGAGCCTCTGATGGGGCTTTCCTGGATCCAGGTCCTTTCCACTTGGTCTTTGCTACTGCTTACAGTCCTAGGGGACAGGAGTAAGAGAAACATATAAATGAATGAATATACACATAAATTTACAAAAACAGCCTCATGCTTGTGAATAAGGTTTGACTTATATTTAACTGAGAAATTCTTACAATTTTTAATTATTTGACAGGAATTCGAATGCTGTATAAATACTGTTTGCACCTATTAGTTTTCTAATGTTCACTCACTGTGGTTTTCATGGGGTCTGTAACCGCTCAGTGGTTGAGTGCAGTGGAACTGGTTATAGCAGGCAACAACTGATTAGTCAGTACAAAGAACCAACGGGAAAAAGTACAGTGAACCGAGTGAGATGTATGATCCAGTTCGTTTGGCTGAAATTGAGAAGCAAAATTGAACAGACTGTGAGGTATTTGAATTAATTGCTCAGCCATTAGAAAAACCAAAGCAGGGGGAATATGCATCATGCTTGGTTTTATTTCCATAACGTCATTTAAACTCAGTTATGGTAACGTAACCCTCTTAAAACATTCTACAGGATGTCCACTTTGGGTCAGAAGGGGATTGTTTTAGATGCTTGCAGGGAATAACAAGCCAAAGGTCCAGGCAGCTGGGTGACACAGGGCTGGTATCTGGGCCCGGGGGCTCTGTCTCCCTGAGGACTCCAAGCTCTTGACGGCAGCCTCCTTCCCTGCCCATGTCACAGTGCTTTCTGCCCGCTTCTCTCCCTCTTCTTTGCTCCTGAGTTTTTTTCTCCCTTCTCTACTGCTTCCTTTCTTTGTATGTTCCTCTCACCCTTTGCTTTTCTGCCTTCTCTATGCCCTGTGGTTTGGGAGCTCTCTTAAAAACTCAGTCCAACCCTCACATGGAGAAGCAGTTAACCTGTTAGGCATGTAGCATGTTGGGTTTTTAAAGAGAAAAGAAAAGGGATGCCCAGAAACCATGTCCCATGAGAGTGATGTGTTGGCTGAGGATGATATAGTGAAACTGTGTGATCGGAGTCTCCCTCTGCCTGGTGGCATGCCTGTGTAGTGACACAGGCCTGACTTGTGATGCCAAATAAATAATAAGACCCATAGCTAAGCAGACAAGACTTAGCAGCACAGGGTAGAGTTGGAGTAATAAAAATGTTTTATTTATCATTATAATGATATAATTTATGAGGGAAAATGGAAAATATCTCTCTCTAGTCCACTTTGTAAAATAGACTGTTTCTGATTTTTTTCTACACATAGCTTTTGACCTTTGTGAATATTTTTGTACAGTTGAAATCAAACTATAAATATTATATTCTGATGTTTTATTTCAGCCTGTATATAAACATTTTCTATACTATCATTTACAGAATTAGCCATCATTTGTAATCATTGCATAATATTCCACGGATATCGGATCACACGTTTTAACCATTCTTGCGTTGTTACCTGGTTGGGTAATTTCCAGGTTTTTTTCACCATGGTCTCAATAATGCTCCTGTATTGCCATGCATGACATTTTCAGTATACAAATAACCATAAGGTTATGCTAGCTTTCCAAAAGGAGGCTTACTCTGTCAAAGGATATCCACATTTGAAGTTAAGGTGCTTCCCAGAATGGTTAGTGCTGGTTTCTGTTGATGGGAGTTTGAACTGGATTCACTGTGTGCAGGAAGGTCTTTGTGCACTTATCGCATAGTGACCCATAGGGTCTCATGCACCCAAGTGTCCCCAACCAGTTTAGGAGAAGCAGTCAGCCCTGACTTGCAGCTGAGTAGGTTGAGAGGCAGATCATTGGGTCTCATCTGTAACTAATCATGAGTGTCTGGCCCCCCCCCCCGCCACAAGGGCTTCACATGATGATTTGTTTTCTGGGAATACACTGAGTGATAATAAGCTAAAGGACAGCTATTCTGAAAACCAGAAAGAAAACTCTAGAAAACTCTAGTTTACTCATCCGGAAACTTGTCAGAGATGACTGAGAAATGATAAAGGCTCATTTAGACCCGGTAGCTGTGTTTTGGGTTCAAAAGCAGCATTGGATGAAAGTGTGAACACATGTACCTCTAGCCAGCAGGCCAGTCCAGCAGGTCTGAGGACATTTTCTCCTTGGTCACTGGGCAGGTGACAAGATTACATTTAATGAATGACACTGATTTGGAAATACCTAAAACAGACTTTTTAATAAGATGTTTGTTTAGCTAATCATTTGGTATTTTCTACAGATCTTTGACGGATTTAACATTAATTGTACCGCCATGAGAGGCAAGAAGAATCTTCATAGATTCAAATGAACATAATTGGGATTCTTTATGTTAGCAAAGAATTTTAACGTACATTGGACAAACAAGGAAATATGAAGGTTTTATTTAAACCCCTTGTCATAAATCTCTCTGCCCAATGGTTTTGGCCTTTGGGAAACCTCTCCCATGAGAAATAAAATGAAGCAGTTAGTAACTCTCTTGAAATTAGAAAAATCACTAATGGTGTTAGCATTTCCAAGCCTGTTTTTCTTGCAAAAATGAAGGTAGTTTGCTAAGTGTTATTCAGTTACTGACTTGTACTCATGTCTCTCTCCTTCCACCCTGCTCCCTACCTTAAACTTCTGCACTGTTTAGATACAACAGCTTTGGCAACACCTCTTATCACTCAAGACCTTCTGGATCTGCTGTGCCCGCCACCCCCACGTCATCTCTTTCACCTCCGCAGGAGGCCAGGCTGGAAAGGTGAGTTTTATAAGAAGGAAGCCGATGGCTTTACCCTCCGGTGGAAGAAATCAGTTTGATGAAGAATGACTAAAGGAAAAGAAAGACAAAGCATAATCCAAAGTATTTTTCTGTACATAATATAGTCCAAAGGCAAGAATATTTTCTTTCACACTATTTACTAAGTAAATATTTTATTAGAAGTGATATTTTTTAATGTCTCATCTCCCTATGTTCTTTCCATAGAAGTATAAAAAAATTTGTTCCCAGTTACTTAAATGTGAAGGGTTTGATTGACCTATGAAAAACTGTTCTAGAATTTGTGTAAGGTCTGCATTTGGTCCTGTAAACATCAGTTTTTATCTTTGAATGAACAATTCTATATAAGTCAGGAGGTAGTGGGCCTATTAAGGTCTGTACCTTAATGTAATTAATCCAGGACCTACCAGAAGGGAAAAGAATTGCATGGGTCGGTCCGTGGAAGGAATTTAACTTGGCAAGAGTATTAGACCACTAGAAATTAACTAACTATTACTTCTGGAAGCGAGTGATTGCACAAGGATGTGTTTACAAGGAAAAGGTAAGACCTGTAATTTTAGAACAATTAAAAACAGTTACCCTTATATGGCAAGAGTGCTGAGTTAGGGAAGACTGGCTGGGGTTCCAATTAGTCACTGGGAAGTTATTTAATCCTTGAGGGTAAAATGCCAGTTATGCCAACTCTTACCTTAGAGGGTGGTTTTGATGAGCCACTGAAAAGGTACTCATGAAAGCATTATGTGAACCCCACCGTGTGGGTCCAGTGGGAAGTGACAATATGTGATGACAAGATATAACACCCAGCAGCGTATGATTGATCAGAAATCTAGACATGAGCAATTCAAAATGATCATTTGCCTCAAATCCTGAATTTAAAACAAACTCGACCTGTATTCTATACTCTAATCATCTGTGTATTCTGAAGTGTGTTTTGCTGAACGTGGCTGGTGATTAGAGGTTTGGTTGGGATGTAGAGCAGGCAAGACCTTACAGCCCCAGGAAGAGGGGCTGTCCAATGAACTTTGCCTCCCCACACATGGTGTTAATTTCTAAGATGATACATAGGATCCACATTGTCAAAATCTCAGGTTTCACAGCCCAGCATGGCCCTGGGCTGGGTGTATCTGGGCTTAGTAAGATCTTGTCCGTAAGATAAAAAGTTGATTTCCTAGAAGACACTGTACCCTTCACCCTAGGGCACCTCTATTTGGGATCAGCTGAAATCACTGTGGTCCCAGAGAGGTCACCACTGAAGAGGGTCCTTATCTAATGGGATGGGATATTGGGGTCCAAGTCAGGAATATTAAAGTTTTACTGATGTTACATCTCACATCTTGTTCCTGCTAGGCTGCCAGCTCCTTGGGAACAAGAACCAGGTCCCCTTCATTGTTGTGTCTCCCTTGGTACCTGGGGACTGACTATGGCAGAGCCACAGTAAACACTAGTTGCAGGATCAGGTGAATTACCCACTCATTGGTTGGGGAACAGTGTGGAGGTCCCTGAAGTTGACAGGTTATCAGGATGGGAAGTTTATAGGTTTCCAAAGCCTTGGGCTTTAGGGGAGATTCCCTTATGGGTCCTAAAGGGAAAACCCCAGTCTCTGTCCCCTTCCCATCCCCTGGAAACCCAGGTCCAGGTTTGAGCTGGAGGGTTAGGGGTGTAGGCTCTGGAAAGACTCTTGCCTGTGTCTCCTTCCCTGCTTGATCTGGCTGAGTGTCTCCTGGGGCCTGGGAAGCTGGGGGGGGTGGGCATTGGGCGGGAGCATTAAAAGAGGCAGGATGGGGCTGGATCCCAGAGAGCCTTGAATGCCCTGGGGAGGAGGTGATGCTTCATCCTGAGACATCAGGGGCTGTTAGAGTTTTGAAGCAGCAGGTGGGGTGCTCTAATCTATCCATGAGTGGAGCCAGTGGGTCGAGGCTACAGGGACAGGGCCTGCTATCTCTGAGTCTTAGAGGGCTGACCATGCCTAAGAAGGGCAGCGGCCATGAGGCTTGAGAGGAGCAGTGAGTTGGGGCAAACTTGGAGGAAGGTGGGAGCAGGGGAAGCAGAATGAGTGAGGGTTCAGGCTTGCTCAAGCATGAGGATGTTAGAAACTAGGAACGGAGACAGAATTTACTGGGGAAAAAAAAAAAGCAAATCACAGGTGGAGATGTTCAGCCTGGGGCATGCGAGTCATCAGGAGTCTGTATGACACCAGGGACACAGTGAGGGTCCCTGGGGATAGGTGGACTCAGTGGTCCTTGGCTTGAAGAAGTTACTTGCATGAAATCCCTCCAGCCTGCCTGCATGCTGAGATCTGGCCACCAGAGAAGCCAGTAATGGAAGCCTTTCTCCCCCCCGCCCTTTTTTTTTTTATGTTTATTTACTTTTGAGAGAGAGAGCATGCACAAGCGGGGAAGGGGCAAAGAAAGACAGACAGAATCCGAAACGGCCTCCAGGCTCTGAGCTGTCAGCACAAAGCCGGACATGGGGCTCAAACTCACAAGGCATGAGATCATGACCTGAGATGAAGTCAGATGCTTAACCGACTGAGGCACCCAGGCACCCCAATGGTAGCCTTTCCTTTCCAATTCCCTCTTACAGCATACTCTGCTACAGAAAGTTCTCTACCTGAACCATCTGTTGTATCCACTAGCAAAGAAAGCTTCAGAGTTACTTGCTTTACATTCGCATGTTTTTTTCCCAATTATCACCATTTATGGCTTCACTAAACCATGTGACCAATCATTTGAAATATCAGATATGCAGTTTCATTATTGAGACCAGCAAGCCCTCCAGCCTGGCCACCCCACCACGTTTTACTCTGGCCTCGCTGGCTTATATTTATGATATAAAAAAAAAGAAAAGGAGGGGTCCCAACTCCAACTTATATTTGTATACATCACCCAAATGTACAATGTAAGTTGTATTTATTATAATATGTGGTTTTATACAGTTTAATTTTTTTCATTTTTGACAACTGAATTATTTGGATGTCACTCATCTATTTTCACATTTACAACAGTTTTCTGCCCTACTAAGGTGTGTGATTGTTTTTACTGAAGTATATACTTCAGTAATTTGTAAGATTGTTGAGATGTTTTATATACCTATAATTCTTGAAACCAAAAAGAAAAACTTAGGAAAGGCATTAAAGTATTATGAACAATAGTGGCATTCTTGTAGTGAGAACCCACATTTTATTTTTCTTTTTTTAAAGCTTGATGCTATTTTTTTTAAAGTTTATTTATTTATTTTGAGAGAGGGGGAGAGAGAGAATCCCAAGCAGGCTCCACATTGTCAGCACGGAGCCTAATGTGGGGCTCGAACCTACGGAACCATGAGATCATGACCTGAGCCAAAACCAAAAGTAGGACGCTTAACCGACTGAGCCACCCAGGTGTCCCGAGAACCCACGTTTTCTGTTAACACACTCCTGAAAAATTAGATTCATGTCAGGGTGCCGTGCAGTACTGGAAAGATCTAGAACTCTTTTCCCTTGGTTTGGAAATAAGACTCACTTCCCTTAAGTCCTAGGAAAATCAGGCCAACTAAAACACCCCTTCAAGCAGGTCAGCCCACTTTGGAAATCCAACTAGCCATCATTGTGAGTTTAGTGTTTTCCATATTTTTCCCAAGCATGCTAGTATGTTGGATGTTAATCAAATTTAGAATGATAAATTGACCTAGAAAGGAAGAACTAAAGAAACAATATACAAAATTAAGTCAAGTCAAGGGTATTAAAATGAATCCATCCCCACATCTCCTATTATGACTTTGTTTATAGGGCTGTCGTTCAGAAACAATGTAACATTAATTTTCATGAAATTGGAAGTTGAGCTGTGCCAAAACAAAAGAAAATAAGAAATCCCGAACTATTTGCAAAGGCCCTCTGGGATACAAGATGCCACTGTTTAATGAAAGCAGACTTTCTAATTGTTTCAATTTTGAAACTGTGCTTTTTGAGTGGAAACATTCTCAATATTTTTAAAAGAAGAATTATAGGAATATTTGAACCGTTCATGTCGAATATTCAAATGAAACAAAGAAGCAAACAATAATTACACCACAGCAAATGAGTCTGGGAAGCTGGGAAGGGCAGAGCCCCTCTCTTTCCATCCCTGCAGTGACATCTCCATCTTGTGGGCCTTTTCAGAAATGGCGCCAGATGCTTGTTCGGTGTGGTGACCGCAATTACTGAGCAATGACCGTGAGGGGATCAGACACAAGTCAAGTGCCTGGGGCTGAAGGTGCTTTGAGGCCATCAGTCTTGGCCTTGAGTCTGGGGAGTGCGCTGATAATGAGGCCCAGCTTGTACCATGAAAGGGGGTATTAGCAGGTGAACACAGTGAGTGCTCTGTGTGGAAAAGCACACTGGAAGAACCCCAGATCCAGATTTTAGGGACCAGGAAGGACTTCACTCATTGAGCTGAAACCCGAAGGATCAGTGTGTGCCTTAAGTATTGATTCTGTTCTGTCTTCCACTTACAATAGTACCGCGGGTTGTAAATGACACTGCTGTAAATGACAATACCCTGCCTGTTCTACAGGTTAATAGCAAGAGTCTTCAGAAAAGTTTGATGGCGTGCCTGGGTGGCTCAGTTGGTTGAGTGTCCAATTTCGGCTCAGGCCGTGATCTCATGGTTTGTGAGTTCGAGCCTCACATCGGACTCTCTGCTTTCAGCACAGAGCCCACTTCAGATCCTCTGTTCCCTTTTCTCTCTGCCCCTCCCCCACTTGTGAGTGCGCACCTACTCTCCCTCAAAATAAACATTAATTTTTTTTTTAATTTTTAAAAATTTAAATAAAAAGTGAAAAAAGGGCGGGGGGGTGCCTGGGTGGCTTAGTCTAAGGTTGGGTGTCCAACTTCATTTCAGGTCATGATCTCGTGGCTCGTGAGTTTGAGCTCTGTGCTGACAGCTCAGAGCCTGGAGCCTGCTTTAGATTCTGCGTGTGTCTCTCTCTGCCCTTCCCCCAGTCACGTTCTGTGTCTATCTCTCAAA